CCATGATCAACGGCTTCTACGCACCGGCCAACCAAAGGCGACGCCGCATCTGGACGGTCCATCAACCCGCACATCTACGCACATAGAAGCGCCACTACATCTCAACCATGCGGTCAATGTGTGCACACGTCACCCGAATGCACCATCTTCCAACCGTCCACCCGCTAATGCTTCGACGATCCCGATTAGCCTGCATTTTCGACAACTCGCACACGTGGCCCCCAATCCTCCCAAGATCAATTCCTCATCCACGGTAACTGTGCACACTTCATGGTGATGATCAACGGCGGACATACACGCATCGCGACAACAACATCACCCTACATGCATTACCTCACCCATTGAATCATGAAGAGAACCACGACCCACCGCGTAACAGATTCGGTCACATCGACGTCCTCGATGCATCGCCCGAAAACTACCTGCTCTCCTCACAGCCCATTGAGCACGTCGAATCTGTCGCACGTCCACGCACCACCACTGATATGGAAGGCCATCGACGCTGTACGACGCATTGCGACACCCACACTCATGATGTTACCACACATAAAAACCGTCACTTACACGCGCAACACAGCCCATCTCGCCGCAGCGCGTTTCACCCAACCACAAATCGCACCGTCCATATCCACTATTCTCACAATCGGGCCGCGTGAAATCCTACATCTGTCATGCCCTGATTTTGTGTCTGGACCCTATGTCCCCCGCTCGCGTGAAATGTATGATCTTGATAGCTTCTATTTCACGCCATCTCACGCAATACATGCTCTTTTCACCACACATCTAACATTACATAACCTACGATTCAACCACGCCACACTAACAACTTCAGCCACACTACCTCAACAACTCAGCAGCTACAACCGTTCCTTCGACAATTGCTGTTCTCACACCCCCGCACTGTCCCCATTACTCGGTAACGGATCAACACCCCGTGCACTGTGCACTTCAGCCTGCATTTTTTGCCCATCCTCAGGTAAGGGACATGTTGTCCCGTGCGCCTTCGCTCACGCTGGGTGCCTGCCCGGCGTGCTCCTGCCTCTCAATCCCGCACGCAGACAGGCGCAGCCCATGGCGGCCCCACGCCCACGATGACGTCGTGGGGTCGTACTGCGGCTGGAACTGCTCGATGGCAGCCATGACGTCCACGAGCGCGCACTTGCGGAGGCCGTCCAGGATCTGCGCGTTGACACCCGCAGAGTTCGACAGCCTGCCCTTGCGGGTGTCCCAGTAGCGGATCGTGTCGGTCACCTGCGCATTTGAACGGACAGATGCGCATTTTCAGCCACTGTATGCACCCCTGCAACGGTTTACACGGAAACTACGTCGGACCAGGAGACATGTTTCGACTGTCAACGCTCACCACGTGTTCGAGCCACGCCATGTGATACAGCTTCAGAGTCAGCGTCCCGTTCACCATCCTGGGCCTGAAAGCAGCTCGGGCGCATGCAGCAAAGGCCCCGGACGCAAAGGGCATGCCGCGCCTGTCCTCGCTCTACTTGGAGATAGCGAAATGTTCTGCACAACAACCAGGCTGCCATTTCGTCGTCATTATCCGCACAAACGCGCTCACACACGTACCAAGCATCGCGAGACTGTCTTACCCTCCCCATCGAGTGTCAGCAGCAGGCGCTCCTTCACCCTCGCCGCCGAGCGAGCCTTGGGGGCAGCCCACGGGCTGCGCGCGTCCTTCTCGTTGCGGAAAAGTCCCAGTTTCGGCATCGCAATGTCCCGGACACGCCCCGCGGCCGCCGTCTTCCAGTCGCTAAACGAACGGTTCAGATCAGCGCGTCTCCCTTTGTCTGCAGCCAATGCAAGGCTTGCAAAAGCGGGAGTCTGACGGTCAATGATCGCGCACAGCCCGGCACTCTTCGCCGCGCTACTGGGGTAGAGCGACATCAACGCGTCCGGCGTGTCCACAAAAAGATGCACACGTAGCTGCTCGCAAATTTCCTGTGTGACGCAGCAGACACAAAGACAGTCCTGGCATATTAGCTGTCACGTAAGATATTCCTCCACCGGACTTTTAACATGGATCCGACATGCTTATACACACAATGCACCCCCATTGTACAACTTTTTAACCCCATCCTCCCACCTTCCACCCTTTGTTCGCCGGTAAAAACTTCAGCGCTCGCTGCAGGATCGGAGAGCTCGACGTCCTCACGTGGCGACCGACCTCGTCCTCCAGCTCGTCCTCGTCGACAGAAGGTTCGGGACTCGCAACGCGCCTCGCGTAACGTGGGTTGACCCTGTCACACTCGACCCTTGCGTTGTCGCGCTTGCGTTTCTTGGCCTGGTGGTTGGCGAGCGAGGCCAGTAGTGCCGTCTCCAGCCTTGCCATGGTCGTTGCCGTTTCCATCTGCATCTTGCGCAGCGCAACCATCTTCGCCCGCGTCACTGGAGCGGAATCGGATGCCTCCTCCTGCGTAGCCTCTTCGTCGTCGTCGACGCGCGGATTTACTCGTGGAAGAGCTTCGTTCGGATTGTCGTCCGACGACACAGGGTCCGGGCCCGTCGGTGATGGTTCATCAGGGCCTTCCTCGTCCGCCATTTCTGACACCCTGCGCCTCTTTCCAGTCCGAGCGGAACGCGCTTCCTCGTGCGTCCTTGAAGGTCCTGCCTTGCGGCGATTAGAGGTTGTCTCGCGAGACGATGAGCTCTCGCCATCCCGATGGTCATTCGCTTCGGGCGGGGGAGTTGACGCTGCAAACCAAAGACACGGTAAGTGTTAGTGTGGGGGCCGTGTACCCTACACGATCATTTAAACACGCACAATAAAACACACGACACACATACCACGTTCCGAAGTCACGCTCGGTGCGGGCCTCGCAGCAATTTTCGCCCGCTTAGCAACCGGCGCCTTCGGCACCGATGGACGCTTGGAGCTTCCCAACAGCGCATAGTTCTTAAGGTGCGACAGAGTCTTGGACACACGCTGACGTTTTCCGTCCCTGAATGCTCGTCCGCTCTCTGTGCCACTGTCCATGTTGCCTGTGGCAACTAGACAGATGATGTGCACAATGGTGCACAACACCTTGTTTTGTGCACAAACTTGCCCTCGTCCATGACTTGCGTCCGAAGTAGGCATTGTTGGAAGCCATCCACACACCTCGAAATTTGCTGCCCTATCCTTGATTGCCAGCAAGACATATTCAAGCACTACCACCATGTATGGTGACCTCGCACTACACCGGTACATTCGTGGTCACACAAAATGTGTTGCAACACTTACACCACCACAGCTATTTTTACACCACCATTCTAAACGTATACACATGTTTTGACAACAACACACAAGCTACAACCATGTGTAGAATCGTTCACCACATCATCAAAATCAATGCATTCCACGCGCAAAAACAACCACTGTCAGAATATTATCTTATGTTCTAGCCTGTAGTGGGGTGCTCTATAGCGAGTACAACCCTTCTAGGGTTTGCTATTTGTATCCTCATTCTTGCTAGTTCAATCCTCTTTCTCCCTTCCAATTTTGTCATGCTATCAGAGCAGGTCGATCCCCTTGGATCGATCCTGTGGGTGGGTTACCACCTCGCTTCCGCTGCTACTTTTTTCCTCCCGCCGTGCGCCCCGAGGTGCGCGGCGGTTTTCTGCCCGCCATGCGCCCCGTGGCGCGCGGCGGTTTTCTGCCCGCCGTGCGCCCCGAGGCGTGCGGCGGTTCTCTGCCTGCTGTGCGCCCCGAGGCGCGCGGCGGGCTTCTGCCGCGGCGTTCGCCGCGTCCCGCTCTGGAGGCGTCGCGACGGGCGACGGGGACCCGTCGCGGCCCCGCCGCCCCACTCTCGCGGCCCCGCAACCTTCGGTCGCGGCCCCGCCACCGACCTGTCGCGGCCCCGCCACCGACTCGTCGCGGCCCCGCCACCTCCGGTCGCGGCCCTGCTCCCTCACATCGCGGCCCAGCCGCCTCCGGTTGCGGCCCCGCCAACTCCGGTCGCGGCCCCGCCAACTCCGGTCGCGGCCCCGCCGCCGACCCGTCGCGGCCCCGCCACCGACCCGTCGCGGCCCCGCCGCCCCACTTCGTGGCCCCGCCGCCCCACTTCGCGCCCCCCCCCCCCTCCTCCCCCCCCCCATTTCCCGTCGCCCGTCGCGGCTCCTTCGGGGGCCGCAAGCGGCCCCCCTCAGGTCGCCATGACAGACGACGGGAGGGGCGAGCTGTGGGGTGGCGGGTATGGGGGTGGTCGGTATGCATTCCTCCCTTTGCTCCTCCTCCTCCTTCGTCTCCCACTGCTGCAGCTGTCGCTGAGGGGGGTGGTTGTGTGGGAGACTGGGGTTTAGGGTTTAAGGGGGGTGCGTGGGAGTGGAGCTAGCGGTGTAGCAGCGGGTGTGTGTCGGGGGGGTGGGACTGTTTGGGGAAGCTGCATGCAGGTTGCCGTACTGTTGTCCGCAGCACCTGTAGTCCGGGGCGCTGTCCCGGTAGCCCAGTGAGCTAGACTTCTACGCCAGCCGCCTGTGGGTCCGTTGCTCGTCTGCCGCTACTTTAGCCGCGGGGCCTGTTACTCCTGTAGTCCGGGCGCTGTCCTGTAGCCGCTGTGCCAGTCTGCCTCCTGTTGCCCGTGTGTCTGCAGCTTCAGCCGTCACCTCCTATCTCCTCTCCCCTCACTCTCCGTCCTCCTCCTCACTTGCCCGTTGTGACTACCACTAGCTTTGCTCATAGCTGTGAACTCTAAACTATTTCTTCTTGAACTTGTGCTCAGAATGTGTGGTGACATTGTGATCCACCCTGAGCTTGTATTGCTTTGCCTGCTCTGCTGATTACACCCCACTTTGGCTATGGGGGTGTGTCAGAATATTATCTTATGTTCCAGCCTGTAGTGGGGTGCTCTATAGCGAGTACAACCCTTCTAGGGTTTGCTATTTGTATCCTCATTCTTGCTAGTTCAATCCTCTTTCTCCCTTCCAATTTTGTCAACCACAGCAACTTATACGTTTGCTTAGTACTGGACTCTCCTTAGGCGCTTTTTTCTTCCATTGCCCTCTCACTATTACTGGGCCTGCGTGCACTCAATACCCCCATCACTGTCTTGTTCCCTATTGTCCTCCTCGCTCACAAGATCCTCATCTGCTTCAGCATCCCGTGTCTCGCTATCAGCTACCTCTACTTTAGGTGGAAGTGACTCCGCACCTGGCTCCGGCTTGAAGAGCGTTCCTGGCAAAACACCAATGTCGTTCATGGCTTTACGCCACTCCCTCCACCTGTACCACTGGCGCTTCTGTACAAGATGCCTCACGTCATCCACTATTGCTCCCTCCAATGCAGCCATCTCCGTGTCTGTCAACGCCATCACCTTGGGGAAGTGGTCCTTCCTCCTGATCACACACGCTCCAGCCGCGTACGCGTAAGCCGCGTCCTTCTCATCCATGTACGCGCCAAGGCGGACCTGCTTCCCAGTCGAAGGCTCCGCAACTATTTTGACACACCACTTTCACACGCGGAGATCAAACCACACCCGGGTGTACTCGCTCGTACCTCCCCGTTTCCCCACACCCCCCGCGCCGTTGGACTTCACCAGGGTGGCACTGGTCTTCTGCATGCGACGACCTGCACGACGACCCTTAACGGGCGTGGCGTCTGGGGTGTTCGGCTTGACCGTGTTGGAGACGTGTCCCTGTGTGTGCACGTCGCTTCCCCCCTGCGTCTGCGGGAACTTTACACGGATGACACCATGGTTAGGCAGTGGAGCGGGGGTGTTGTGAAGAAGTTCGGGGAGCGACCTCGAGGCTGCATCTCGCTCCCGCTGCCTGTCCTGTCAGAATCCCAACCACTAGACCATTGGGATCAAAGGGCTTGTTTAAGTAGCGGGTCAGTGCGCCCATAACCCCCCAGGCCAACGTGCCTGTGACCCTTCCCTAGGATCAATCGGGGATCACCAGTGGACCTCTGACACCCCCCCCCATTGGGATGCCCGAAGTGCATACACCTGGATTCGAACCCGAGACCTTCGCTCTGATACCATGTCAGAATCCCAACCACTAGACCATTGGGATAAAAGGGCTTTGGTAAGTAGCGGGTCAGAGTGCGCCCATAGCCCCCCAGGCAAACGCGCCTGTAACCCCCCGTAGGATCGATCGGGCATCCACAGTGCAGATCTACTGACACCCCCCCACACTGGGAGGCCCAGGACTGAGCACAGCGGCAACGGCCTACATGTGCATACACCGGGATTCGAGCCCGAGACCACTCTGATATGATGTCAGAATCCCAACCACTAGACCATTGGGATAAAAGGGCTTGTTTCAGTAGCGGGTCAGTGCGCCCATAACCCCCCCAGGCGAACGCGCCTGTAACCCTCTCCAGGATCAATCGGGCATCCACAGTGCAGATCTACTGACACCCCCCCACACTGGGAGGCCCAGGACTAAGCACAGCGGCACCGGCCTACATGTGCATACACCGGGATTCGAACCCAAGACCGCTCTGATACCATGTCAGAATCCCAACCAGATGCAGCTGCGGGGCCGAGAGATGCAGCTGCGGGGCCGGGAGATGCAGTGGCGGGGCCGTTAGAGGGGACGGCGGGGCCGTGAGGTGCAGCGGCGGGGCCGTCTGAAGCAGCGGCGGGGCCGGCAGAGAGGACGGCGGGGCCGTCGGGTGCAGCGGCGAGGCCGGCAGAGGGGACGGCGGGGCCGTCAGGTGCAGCGGCGGGGCCGTCGGAGGGGACGGCGGGGCCGTCAGGTGCAGTGGCGGGGCCGTCTGAAGCAGCGGCGAGGCCGGCAGAGAGGACGCCGGGGCCGTCGGGTGCAGCGGCGGGGCCGGCGGAGGGGACGGCGGGGCCGTCAAGTGCAGCGGAGGGGCCGGCAGAAAGGGACGGCGGGGCCGTCAGAAGGGGACGGCGGGGCCGTCAGGTGCAGCTGCGGGGCCGGCAGCGGCGACGTCGGGGCCTGCAGAGGCAGGCGATGAGGCCGCGTGGGCGGCGCTAGGGGGCCGCGAGGGCGGCGCGACGCAGCAGAGCCGCGAGGGCGGCGCGACGCGGCCGTAAGGCCAGCGCGACGTCGCCCGGGCCGCGCGCGCGAAAAAAAAGGTCGCGCGCGCGACTCGCGGGGGCCACAAGGGCAGCGTGAGAAGGACTAGGGGGGAGCGCGCTTCGGGGAGAGAAGGGCGCGCTCCGGGCAGCGAAAATTTCGTGGGTGGGCCCTAAAAAAATGGTCCTTAGGAAGGACCCGCTCTATACCATGTCAGAATCCCAACCACTAGACCATTGGGATCAAAGGGCTTGTTTAAGTAGCGGGTCAGTGCGCCCATAACCCCCCAGACCAACGTGCCTGTGACCCTTCCCTAGGATCAATCGGGGATCACCAGTGGACCTCTGACATGTCCCCCGCGCTGCATATCTCTGTCTAAGCCGTCGCTGCCGCTGCAACCAGCCATGGCCGGGCGCTTACTGCCCAGACGAGCCCGCTTGATAGGCGTGCGACGGGGACGGTTGATGACGTTGTCGTTGGACAGTCCAGTGCGCTCTGGAAAGTCACGAGGAGGAATGCCCATTTCAGCCGCGGTACGTATGTACGTCTGCGTAACGGCTCTCACCACTCTACGGCGACTACGAGGGTCGTGCAGTCTAGGCCAAGGTGGCATAATCAGAGGCACGGTGAGGTCCTCCGCTGAGTTGTCTACGACGGCCGCGCCGCGGCCGATGATAGCGAGAATGCGAGTGTCGCACGCCGCGTAGTTGGGGGCTTGCATGAAGCCGGAGCCGCCCTTGGTGAACTTGGTTATCATCTGTTGCAGACTAATGAGCTGGGTTATGAGTGGCTCCACAGTCACACAATTTGCATGATTTTCCGTCAGATGCAAGAGCGGCCTCCACGCCATAGGCAACATCCCAGACCTTGCCCACGAGAGATGGACACCCCTGGATGGAGTGCAGTCGCTGGCAGACCCTACCCATAGCAGTACATTCTCGTAGGCTATTATGGGCATTGCGCCCCGAGACAGCCATGCCGAGTCCTTTATGATGAAGCCGAGGTAGCAGGACTGGAAAATCGTCTTGAAAATCTCGACCACCCCGTTGAACCACGGAAGGTTGTATGTGGAAACGACACCCGCGAGATGAACAATCTTGGTGGATGTGAGCTGCTGCATACGAAACCCGAACATTGTGCTCTCGTCACAGGCCGGGTCCAACGACACGTGAGCGGCGCTCGCCACGAGGACAATGGCGGTTTTGTTGTGGCCGAAACGGTCCATGTCGAAGGCGTCAATGTACTCGGTGAAGCACCGCGAGACATAAGGGGTTGACAGATATGACGCTAAACAAGTTGGATGCGTTGCGCAGCACAACCACAATACAATAACTTGTTGCGCACGCACCTCGGCGGCGAGTTCCCCGGATCTCGTTTGACAAAGATGCACAGGCTTCCCATCCGGGAAGAGCGGCCGGTAAGGGCGGTGACGAGCACGACGCGTCATGACAATAGGCGGCTGCGACGATGACCCAGTAGCATTAAACAGCAGGCAAACGCGAAGTTCGCACTTTGGCATGTACCGGGTGTCTGGCTCCACATTATACGTGAATGGCAAAGTGGTCGCGAGTAGCGGCGTCTCTACGAAGAAGAACACGTCTTCAGGGTGGGCACGTAGCGACTCTAGGAGCTGCACAAGAGCCGCCATGGCAAGGACACTAGCATGGAGACTAGCGTGCGTGTGCGGTAATATGACGATTGTGTCCAGAAGGGAGGGCATCCTTGTGTGCAGCGGTAAGGGCTGTACGAGGTTGTGCACCTCACAGACACAATCCGCACCGTGGACACGGGAAGGACACAACGCCACGTAAGTGTCACACCTGGTGTGCTACAATTGGCGAGACAAGGTAGCGTAGAACACAGGCACATGTGGCATTTCGGCGGCCACACATGGAGAAGGGGCTGCACAAGGTGGCTCCGCTTGTGACTAATGGTTTTAATAAAACCTTTACACGCGATCGAATTGGCCATGTACAGTCGGGTGTCATGTTCTGTATAACGAAGACGGAGGTTTGTACCCGCATCGGGGGCACCAGCACATCGAAACCCTAGAAGGAAGCATGCACCCAAAATCCGTGTTGCCCAACATTACAAGCATCAAATCGGCTGTGTTCTGTTCTGGGGGAGGACCTATATGTGTTGTTGTTCATCGTCGACCATTAAGGACGTTGATTCTGGGAGCAACCCTGCTCGTTCCGTGGACTGGTAAACGGGGACATGTCACTGCATAGTTGCGAAGCGTGTGGTGGGGGTTTCGCTAACAATATCGCGCTGCGGACACACAGGATTTGCCACCCACGCTGTGCGGGCATGAGTTCCCCATCGACGGACGTTACGTACCTTGAGAGCCGGGGAGAACATGTGAGAGTCAGAGGTGGTCGGCATGTGGAGATGTCGCATTCTGACTTTGTCACGGTGTTACACGCAGACGGCCTTACCTATGGTGAGGATCTGCAATGGCTGTTCCGTATCTTCAGAAGCCCGAGGTTGTGCACTCGCGACGCTGACAGGGTGTTGGCTTTGCTAAGGAACCCCCGCTTCTCGCTTCGTGATGTGCATGCATTTCGTTCACTTCACTGACACCCTCCATGTTGTGTTGGCGCTATTGGCGGCGTAGGTTGCATTGCCTAGTGTGGCATCGAGAATACGCAAGCGCATGGGACGGCGGTGAATTGCACACGTAACATGGGATGAGCGGTATGTGTGAGAAACGCTAGTGGAGGGCTGTAGATGGTGTGTTGGGACGGGCTGTAGTGTTAGGCAGTGTGAGTTGTCACGGAGTTTATGGAGTATTCATTATTGTAAAGGACACTCGGCATGCTGTTTGTGCTGGTATATGTTTGTAATTTGCAATCATTGAAGTAATTAGACACAATTATTCATATATGTTGGACCATTACATAGTGTGGGAGACACAATTTGTTGCGCGACTACGGGGTGTGTTGCTGACGCATATGTGGTGGTGTATGTGTGGACATGTCGTGACAAGTCTCTTTCCGCCGAGCTGGGGGAAACATGGCACGGGCATTGTCACTTGTCCTGTGCGAAAGTGATGTTACCAAAAAACAAATGCGTTCGCATCATGAAACGTTTTTGCTGCATTCAATCCGTGTTCAACTGCCAAGTGTGATAGGTTCATCACCCAGTTTGTCGAGTTTGGAAGAACCGAGGAGGGCTGCTGATGTGTCAGGGTTCACTCCGGGTTGTGCCATGATGAAACAGTGTGTGACCCGTTGGGACCATGGTGTATTAAAAGGGTGGGTGCAATAACACAAATTAGGGTTTCCCCCCTCGTCTGCAGCTATGTTAGGCAACGCGTGCGAAGCCTGCGGCTTAGAACACGTTGACAACAACACGCTGCAGTCACACCTGGCACGCAGTAAGCAATGCCGACGGAAGATACACCAAGCAAGGGCGGAGCGCCTGGTGGAGGCGTACCGGGAGGCTATGCGTGCTATGCGGGGCGCACGAGCGCTGTCACCGGTAAGGACACGTCATTCCGAGATGGAGCCGGATGCAAGCGAGGGCGTCGAAGAGCATCACGAAGAGGATGAGCGGCGAGGAGCAGCCGTAACGGACGCGGACGACGATGGGAGCGATGTTAGCAGCGTGGACGAAGGGTTTGATACGTTGACAGAGATGTACATATTCTTCCGGGATGCGGACCTATCAAGAAGAGAGGTTAACAAGCTACTGAAATTTTTTAGCAACCCACGGTTTTCGGTGAGGGACGTCAGGAGATGGCTGAACTATGTGGACGTGAGGCGCTTTGGGAAGGCTATGGCGCCGCCTGACCTCGTGCCGTGGTTGAAGACGGAGATAAAGTGCTATGGACCCGGAGGAAAGATGGCGAGACTGCCGCTGCACTACCGAAACACGGAACTGGTGAGCGGACGGTGGGAGGTAGTGGTGTTCTAATAGACCGCTCACAGAGGTTGCGCTTACTGCATTTCGATGTAACCAAGGGTCGCTTTGCCATGTCCCGCTTGACAGTTGGTGCAGAAGCTGGTGCGGACGTTCATCCACTCGGAGGGTTTCGTGACAGAGCCTCGGACAGACAAGGATGATTGCGAGGGGAAAAGGCATTTCAACACTCCTAACACGGGCATTTGGATGGAGAAAGCGCATGTGAGTAGGTAGGATGCTGCACAGGAATTGCTATTATGTGGTGTGGCAAAGATGCGCGTGGTGGCTCATATCGATGTATGAATATGGTTTGTGACGGCAAATGGGGTCGTAACGTGTGCAGGCGGCGCGTCCAGACCAGAAGGGGATGATTCTGGGTGTTATAGTGTACAGCGACAGCACGCACGCTTCGTCAAACGGCAGGCTACAAGCGGGGCCGGTCCTGATAAGCCTCTTCAACATACCGGAGAGTCTGAGGTGGCTTGAACCCGGACACATGCTCGCAGGTGTGCTCCCGTTCCCTCCGGAGTGGGCGTCGTCCACGGAGAAGACGCGCGTATTCCAGGAGGCTATGGCTGTTATTTTTGAGCCACTGCTAAGAGAGCACAGAGGGTGAGTGTTGTGAATGCGTTTGTGGTCGGATAGCGATAAAGTGGTGATGTATGACAGTGTGTCGATGGCCATGTCGTTGGCAGGGCGAAACTCAAGTTCATCTACGTCACGGATGCGTCGGGGAAGGTGGTGAAGGCGTACCCTTGTTTGTTCGCGGAGGTCGAGGACTACCCGGAGTCGTCTCTTTGCACTGCGACGATGCAGCAGAGGTCACAAAGGCCATGCAGCTCGTGCTACATTAAGAGGGTGCATCTGGCGGAGCTGAGGACAGACACAACAGTGCGCACGGCCGATCTGCACAGGCGCAAGGTGGAGGCTATTTTGAATGCACCCTCGAGCGACAATGCTGACAAAATAATGCGCAGGTGGTCGACACACCCAGTGCATGTAAGAGGGGCTGATGTGATGGTAAAGCAGAGTGGTTGGGTGGATGTGTTGTTACAGATGTAACTAATGTACCATGTGTGGATTGGTGAGCGGCAGGACCGTGCTACTGTCCAGTTGACCGGGAACCATTCTTCTGTGTAGGGCAGTGTTTCCTGGAGAGGTGGAATTTCGCGGACACAAAGTGGGGGAATGTCTTCCTGGCGTGCGTCGCGGACATATTGCACGTGCTGGACGGCGGGATGTTGGGGCACCTCACGGACATATTCATCAAGGGGAAAAGCAAGCCGAAGAGGCGGGAGTTTGAAAGGTGAGGGACGTCGTCTCAATACTAAGTGTGTGTACGTACTAAGTGCCTTGGGACAAACTCGGAGCCACTGGTGTAACATGTGCAGGCGCAAGAAAGAGCAGAAAAAGGACACGAGGACAACGGTTGTCCGCATCCCAGGGGGGGCATCCTGGTTCAGGACACGGGCGAACTATGTGGCGTTCGAGAACCGAGGGATGATGCAAGTGATGCCCATTCTCATCGCGGACAGCGTGGACGGCTGCAAGCCGGCGGAGGTGGAGCAGCGGACGAAGGACGTATGGGCGTTCAGGAAGTACACAATGTTCTACAAGGCACTGGTGGGCATCGCAAAGCACACGGAGCAAACGTTGCGTGATGTCCTGCACGGCTGCCTACGCGTGAGTGCCGGGGGGGGGGGGGGGGGGGGAGAGGACAGGTTGGGGTGTCAGAGGGTTGTAGGGGTAGGGGGGGGATGCCATTGGTGTCAAACATTATATATGTTGTGCTTGTTTAGGCTACAGTGGGTTAGCCTATAGGGGGTACACAATTCTAGGGTTAGGTGTCAG